GCTTTTTTGTGAAATCTATTAATCCCTCCTCTAACCAAGGTCAATTTGTTTGCTGGTTCAAACATAATAAATCACCAATTGTAGATTTATAGCCGACAATTTTCTCGTTTTTTCATGCAAACCCTTTTAAAATACATGTTCCACTATCAGAAGATACCGGAAGAAACAAACAACATCTAGTACAAACCAAAGAAAAAAATGGTATAGTAGAGATCACAAGAAAAAATGTGAATTGATGCCTCATTCTAGCACAATAGAATGCAACTACGAGATATTCTAAATATTACAACTAGCAAAAGCTAATTACAGGGCAGCACTGAAGGCTGACTCCCCCGTTAGCATCAGAGCTGGGGAGGGAACCAGACACCTAACCTACACAACCATGCGCTCATTATAGACATGTCGTAGCGAAATAAGATAAGGTCCCCAGCATGGTAGTGCCAAGAAGATCACCATCCTGCATCTCCATCTTTGTCCCTACAAACTTGATTGTCCTCAATCAACAACAATCCACCAAATGAGCATGAAGCAAAAGTATGAGAACCTGTGGCCAGCTCCTAGACGACATTTGTTCAAGCCATCTGCACATCCTTGTCAACCTCAGAATGCAACCCTCCCCAATATTTGATAAAAGCACAATCATATAAGACCAGTTCAAACGGTGATTTGATGAGTTTACCTTCAAAACATGGCCTATTGTGAAGCTTCCAAATTGCCCAACACAACATAACGAGGCCAGTGATTTGTACAATACAAGTCGCTCTAATGCATTAGGGAATTCACCAAAAGTATTCACAGAAGCACCCACATCTGGCCACGCTTAGAATGGTGAATGCTTAAAATGTTCAAAACATATTTTGCAGCAACACAGTCAAAGAAAAAATGGTGAATGATTTCCTCCTCGGAACAGATCTAGTCAATTGCATTGTGCCCTATAAGCTACAAGTAGATTTTTAATATTGGGGAGGATGTTGGCTTTCCCCAAATGAATGAATGGTCTGTTAGGACCATTGCAAGCAATGTGGTCATAAAGGGATTTGACAATTAAATTTCTAGATTTAGTCCATCACCGTTTGGGTCTTTTACATTTATTATTCATAGGCACACCGACCAGCTTGTTTTACATCTCACACAAGTTGTTCTGCAGGTATACATCTAGTCATCTTGTAAAGCTGACATGCTAGCCTCCTCTTGGAACATTTGCCACAGACTTGCCAAACTCATTACTAATTAATGCAAACCAGAAAATTGTTCTTGAAACAATGCAATACCACATCAGGAATTCTTGCAAATTAGTTGTCCTCCCATTATCCACAACTGTCAAGCGGCCTTGGAGGTAAATGGACTCAAATACAAAATATCATACCACCAAGTAGAGTCATGTAGTATGTGTTAAATCCAATAAATACTAACCCCTATTAAGTATTTGGCTTTTGTAAAAAGTTGTCACTTTCTTCTTTTAGCTTTAAGTGTCTACACACCACTTGCACACTAGGCTAATGTTCAATTTAGACATGTTCTTCAAGCAAAGACCTTATTTTCTTGGGTCGATAGATCAATGCCCACTTTACTAGACAATATCTTCTTTTAGTAGCACCACACTGCCACACAAATGATGTCATAATTTTGTTCCACTTGCACAAAGTTATTTTGCGCATGAGAAACATGGACATTTGATAGATTGGTGTCAAAAAAGTGTTACTTGGTGTTACTCTGCCCTTAATCGAAGTAGATCCACCTATCTAGTCTTCTATCCTTTTACAACTTTTCTTCCACAAACTTCCACTTAGACACTTTAATTTTACTAACTATAACTCGCATCCCTAGATATTTCAAGGGCCATTAACCCATCTTGTTGTTAAACAGAATGGAAAATTGGTCCAATTTCTGACCATCATCCAAAGCCATCAATACTTCACTCTTCTGGAAATTGTTCTTCAACCGGAACATCATCTCAAACAAATATAAAGGATGTTTCAAATTCCTAGATCTGCATACTATAAAATTGCAACTCCTTTTATCTATCAAGTGGTCAGCCATTCGAGTGGTCAGACCATTATGTTGAGCTGGATGGACCATTTTATCAAGGCAATTAGAAGCAAGACTCAACAGGAAAGGAGATAGGGGACCCCTGCCTCACCCCTTCGGTGAAGCAACATCACCCTATCCATAATAATTCTCCCCTTAATGAAAGCAATCTAATCGTTGAGTCCTTTGGGCACGATAGGATTAACCCTTTTTGTCATTGCTTTCAAGTCTTAAACAACACTTGCAAAAAATTATTGTGCATAGTTGATACCTGATATGTCTCCAACATATCTATAATTTTTTATTGTTCCATGCTATTATAGTATCAATCTTGGATGTTTTATATGTAGTTTTATGCAATTATATATCATTTTTGGAACTAACCTATTAACTTATTGCCTAATGCCAGTTGTTCTTTTTTGTTTGGTTTTTCGCTTTTCAGGAAATAAATATCAAACTAAGTCCAAATGGACAAAAACTTTGGATTAATTTTTTCTGGAGCAGAAGTGACCCTAGAAGGTTCAGAAGACTTAGTCACGTGGGAGCGACAAGCTCGGGAGCCATGCCCCAAGGGGGGGGGGCAGGCTTGTGGGCGCCTCGTGGCACCTCTTGACCTAATTCCATCTCTATAAATTCTCAAATATTCCCCTGACATCAGAGAGCCACCCGAAATACTTTTTCCACCGCCGCAAGTTTCTGTTCTCGTGAGATCCCATCTGGAGGCCATCTCCGGTACTTTGCCGGAGGGGGAATCGATCACGGAGGGGCTCTACATCAACCTTGATGCCCTTCCAATGATGTGTGAGTAGTTTACCTCAGATCTACGGGTCCATATATAGTAGCTAGTGGCTTTTTCTCTCTCTTTGATCTTCAATACAATGTTCTCCTCGTTGTTCTTGGAGACTTATTAATTCGATGTAATCACTTTTTGTGGTGTGTTTGTTGGGATCCGATGAATTATGAGTTTATGATCAGATTATCTATGAATATTATGTGAGTCTGCTCTAAACTCTTTTATGCATGATTGTTGTAGCTTCATATTTCTCTCCGATCTATTGATTTGGTTTGGCCAACTAGATTGATTTTCATTGCAATGGGTTTGGTCTTGCAGTGCTCAATCCCAGTGACAGAAAGGGACATGGCATGTATTGTATCGTTGCTATTAAGGATAAAAAGATGGGGTTATTCATGTGTGAGTTTACTTTGTCTACATCATGTCATCTTGCTTAAGGCGTTACTCATAATGACATGATGACGTGAATAAAACTTTGAGGTGAAGAGAGTACGTGAATATAACAAAGTTGTTAGCCCCCAACAACTAATTCTTCTCAAGTCCAATTTATGCTCATAAAATCCTAGAACAGGAGCATCACCTCTCTCTTAATGATGGTCCAACGGGTCTGATAGAATTCAATATGGAATCCCATCTAGACCTGGAGCATGATTCTTCTCCATTTTATCCAGTTTAGTTCTGTCCCCCGCATTTAATTTCTCTCTATTTTCCAAATATCATATCTAAGGTAGCATGCAAAATCTGCCGCAAGGCAAAATAAATCTTTGTAAAAATCTGTTGCATGTCGTAATTTTAAGGTTACTTGAATAATCTCGTCTTCTTTTTTCAAGCTGCAATCACCTTTTTACTGCTTCCATTTGCCACCCTTTGGAAGAATTCAACATTTTTACCCTATTTAAGCAACCAATCCTTCCTTGATCTCTGATGCCAATATTCTTCCTTTGCCTCATATAGCCTCATAAAAAATAGTTTCTTTCAACGAAGCAACATTAAATCTAAACTCATTATTATTAGGCGGTGAGTTATCATTGTGTCTAACAATAAAAGGGTTGTGGTCAAAATTTTCTCTAGGAAGTTTATGAACAATAGCAAGTGGAAAAGCAAGCTCCCAGACTTTGCTAACCAAAATTTTTTCTAACTTTCTGGATGATCAATTCTTGTTCTTTTTATTTCCTTTGAGTTGTTTATCGCTGGAATCAAGAAATCATCCGTAAGTAAATGAAAAGGTGATCTCCACTAAGCTAAAATGTCACATCAACACAGAATCATGCATAAAAAAGACCCATGCAATCATGCATGGGAAAATTATTTCCATTCTATTATGTTACCTATATTTAATAAACATTTACAGCTATACAATTATACAACAAAATAAATCTTACACACACAGATATATATAGAGAGAGTAACACTATTCTAATCATGGTATTAGAATAGTTATTTGAACCACAGTCAGCCTTATAAGGGCCCGACGGCTTCCTCCCGAAACTTCCCGAACTCGCAGATGAGAAAAAAAGTCACGCCCCACGCCCACCACTTCCCCTCCCCGACCAACCCCGCACCCCGCCTCCACCGGCGCCGCCGCCGCCCAACCCCGTGCCCCACCTCCACCGGCCAACCCCGCGCGTCGCCGCCGCCCAACCCCGCGCCCCGGCCGCCTCCACCGAGCAACCCCGCGCGCCGCCGCCCCCGCAAACCCCGGGCGCCTCCACCTCCTACCGGATCCCACCGGCGGAGCAAGCCGCGGCAGCCTCGGCGCTCCTCCGCTCGCCGCCGCCCTGGAGACGAACACGGAACCGCCACCCCGAGGAACATCCGAAAGCTGCGCAGCGGTGGAGCTCCCCTGCCCACTGCCTTTTCGTCCATGCATGCCCTCCATCCTCGCCGGAGCCGATGCCGGCCGCGGCCTCACCACGTCGCCCGGGATCCACACAAGCGCCATCCTGGCCGGCCACATTGACCATCTCACAAGGGCAACCTTGACCTTCCCGAGATGGTTCATCCATGGAGCAGCCGCTCCCACCCCTCCACACCCGCGTCATGCCTGGCTCGCCGCACACCTTTGCCCGTCGTCACCAGTACGCTGCTACCGCATGGCTGACGGGGCTATTGCCACATCACGTCCGGGCTGGCAGCGGAGATCGTGGACTAGGGCGCGAATTGGAGCAGGGCGAGCACGATGCTGTACATGGGGATCGGGGTGGTTGACGGGGGTGGCAGTTCTAGTTCTTCTACTCCCCTTCTTCTACTACAGCAATACGCACGCCTGCGCGTTGCACATCCGTCGTGGCAACTCACTGTCCAGCGACAGGTCGCCAAGGTGTGTATTGCGCTACTCATTCAATAAATCCTGATTTGCAGTGCCGCTGGGTACGTCATGCCTCTTCTTTGCCTGCTCACTGCCCCCCATGCTGGAGCTAGCGGCTCCTTGTTCTATCTCTCAACTAGAGTGGAATCTGTACACATGTATCCTGAATCATATAGTGGTTGATTGGTTTTTCATGGCGTGTTGGTGATGTTCAGAGTTTTGCAAAGAATAACTGGGAAAAAATCCTCCAATTTTTCTGTTTTTCACTTGCTCTGATTTGTTGCTCTGTACATGGGCCATGTTGTAATTCAGCTGACATTTTGCACCAGAACATGACAAGCTGTTTACCTGCTGATGCTCACCCTTGAACACTATTTTACAGATTGTTCCTGCCACTGCTATCCCTGATGGTTGGATGGGTCTCGATGTTGGCCCAGATTGCATCAAGACTTTCGCCGAAGCCTTGGACACCGCCAAGACTGTTATCTGGAACGGTCCTATGGGAGTCTTCGAGTTTGAGAAGTTTTCCGCAGGCACTGATGTTAGTACAACATATATCACATAACGTACATTCATCTTTCTCGTATTTGTTGTTGTTGCTAATTACAGCTGTCATTGTCTCAGGCAATCGCGAAGCAGTTGGCTGAGCTTACTGGGAAGGGTGTGACGACCATCATCGGTGGAGGTGACTCTGTTGCTGCTGTTGAGAAGGCTGGGCTGGCCGACAATATGAGCCACATTTAGACCGGTGGTGGCGCGAGCTTGGAGCAGGTGGAAGGCAAGCCCCTCCCAGGAGTTCTCGCCCTTGACGAGGCATAGGTTCATTTGGTTTCGCCTATCAGCTTGCTGCGTGCCCTTTTCTTTGGGATCTCAAATTGGTGTAACGCTGGAACGTTATATGGAAACTTTGAGATAGGTTTGTCGCCAATTTTTGCTAGTAGATGGGTCGTGAATAATTATCAACTTCCTCTGTGTGAGTGAAGTGATGTGACTGGAATGTAACATACCCCTGTGGATGTGTATGGTTTTAAGCTCTGTGTCTTTGTGTCCGGTTTCCTTCTGTGTTGTTTGCTCTGTTTTACTTTGAAATGAAATCTTGTCACGTACCGCCATGATTTACAAGAATCATCATGACTTACACATGGAGTCCAAATAAAAAATAATGTTTTTCGTTTCTAAAAAACTAAAAGCGAAGTTCAAATTGAAAAACCAAGAAAATCCAAATTAAAAATAATAATAATGTTTTCTGTTTTTAAAAAACTAAAAACGAAGAAGTTCAAACTGAAAAACCAAGAAAGTCCAAATTGAAAAATAGAGAAGTTCACTATTTAATAAAAACGGATTTTACCCGTATCCACATAAAAACCTTGAAGTTCAAATTTAGAAAATGGGGTTGATCGGCGTCCGTTTGAATTTTTCCTTTTAAATAACAAATTAAAAGTTATTGCTAAAAATTAAAAAAAATTAAGAAGGTCCAACTACAATAACAGAGAAGTACAAGGTTTAAAAACACAAAAATTAAATGATTCCAGAAAACAAGGAAGTTCAAAAATAAAAAATGAACTTTTATAAATGGAATTGTTTTCTATTTTGCAAAAAAAAACAAGAAGTTCAAATTAAATTAACAGAGCGGTTTAAAGTTCATAAAAAAATTAAAATCTCATTTCAAAACCAAAAAAACGCGAACAAACCAAGAAGTTCAGTTCGAAATAATTAAGAAGTTGTACGATGTTTATTACAAAAGTAAGATTTTTTTTGTCGCAAATGAATAACACCAAGATTGGATGTTTATTACAAAGTCCAAGAAGTCCAAATTGAAACAATCAGGAAGTTCAATTTTAAAAATTGAATAGTTCAATGTAGATGAAACACCCAGATTTTCCTTGTTACTAAATAATAATCCAAGAAGTTCAATTTAAAAAAGCGGAGCAGTTCGATATTTATTACAAAAACTCAAAAAATTCCTGTTACTAACGGATAAACGAAGAAGTTCAGTTTGAAATAATGAAGAAGTTCGTCATTTATTAAAAAACTCCAATTTTTCCCATTTCTAAAAATACACAAAGAGATCCAAAAATTGCGAAAATGGAGCGGTTTGATGTCTATAAAACTCCAATGTTGCTAAAGGGTAGCGTCTTGTTGTTGAATCTAAAATTATTTTGGAGCAATTCAATTTTAAAAAGAAAATCAATAATTTCATTTTAAAAGAATAAAACTATGAAGTTCAGATTATAAAAACAGAGAAGTTCAGATATTATAAAAACCTAGGATTTGCATGCCCAATTTTGATGAGTGCTTTAGGAGTTAGGGCAAAGAAACAAGTAGAGAGCAGTTCAAATAGATAACAACTAGAAGTTCACGTACTACATGGCCTGTGTTTCATATGAGAAAAGGTTGAATAAAAAAGCAAAGTCAAAAAATATTCCGCTAGAAGTTCAAGTCCTCAGCCAGAGAAAGTTTAAAAAAATATTGTGAGAGTGGTTTGTACAAAAGGAATTTCATTTGTGTAACACTGAAGAATGAATGAGAAAATTAGAAACGAAAACACGTCACAGAAGTTCAACGTGAAAACAGCAGGAAGTTCAACTACTACACTGAATGAATTTCAGATGAAAAACTTTTGAAACCGTCGCAAGTATGACAAAATGATCAACACAGGAAAGTTGCGTGTTTACAACAACTTTCGATCTAGATATCATTTGCTCAATTCTGGTGAGTGGATGGACAACTACGAGCAGTGGATGGAGATCTATGAGCAGAAAAAAATACGTGAAAAACAGAGTGAAGTTTAGATAGACATGCCGAGAAGTTCAAGTTCTTCACGCGGTGCAATTTTGAAGAATTCGTTTCGCGATAAAGGTAGAATGCATGATCTTGCTATTTTTGAAATTACCTAAAAATGGCTAGCAATCAGAGAAAACCATCAACATGAAAAAGTTTCGCATTTTCCGTAGCTTTTCAGCGGTATATTATTTGCCCCATTCCGATAAAGTTTGTAGAAATTATTTAAAAAATACGTTTTTAGCCATTTTAAAAATTAACTTAAAACCGTAAGGAATTGGGATAAACAATATATAGGAGAAAGTTTCGCATTTCCTCAAGCTTTCCAATGTTGTATCATTTGTTATATTCGGACATACGGTTAAAAAATTATCTTGAAAATACGAACTCGGTGGAATTTGTATCGTTTTCTAAATTAGTGTTAAACCGTTCAAAATTAGAAAACACTTTCAACATGAAAAAGTAGCGCATTTTCACAAGCTTTCCAACGCCATATAATTTGCCTCAATTGGATTAGCCGTTTAGAAATTAAATTGAAAATATGAACTCGGCTGTTTGGTTTACGAAATTTTATGATTTTCGAAATTACTATTTATTCATAGGGAATTAGAGAAAACTTTCAACATGTCGAAGGAGCGGTTTTGCAGCAACTTTCCAACGCCATATTATTTAACTCATTCCAATAAACAGTTTAGAAATGCGCTCGAAAATACGATTCATGTTTTTTGTATGAAGAAAAAACGATTTTCAAAACTGCTCTTAAACCGCTTAAATTTTGCCAAAAATTTAACTTGGGTCATGATACTGGTGTCCTTAGCTTTCCAACGGTATATCACACGCCCCATTTGGACACCTTTTAGCTGAAGTTCAACCTACTACTCAGGAAAGGTCAGGCGCGTTACTCGGGAAGTTCATGTTGTGATCAGAATATTATTCTGATCCCG